AACAATTGAGGCACTAAGATCTTGAAGGTCAAGATCTACAAGCTACAAGGAAAAGGTATTCATCTAACTTTGTTTTATGTTATAAATCTCCAAAATTGTATGCTAGATAGGGTTCATCCTTTGGATGATTAGAATTGCATGTATAACGTGAGAAAAACCTAGATCTAAAGCATTAGGGTTGCATGTACACCATAAGAATGTTGTAGTGCTCAAAACCCATCATTATAAACCATTGTAAGTCCTCAAGTTCCGAACTTTATGTGTCATGTTTCTATATCTAGGATTTTATGCTTTGTTCTACATGTTTTGAGTAGTTTGAGTGATTTGATTCCATAAAATTGACAACTTTATGGATCCTTGGGGCCCCGTTGAGGTTTGGTGTGCTAGATCTAGAATCTGGTTAAGTTTCGGTTCCATACATGAGATTTTGACCTCGGTTTCACCTTTTCTGACCTAACCAAGTTCAAAGAATACATTGTACATGCATGTCCATAAAGTAATGGTTTTTATGAAGCTTATGTACATATGGAATTATTTTGGAAGAGATGAGTGTGTGGCTTAATGAATTAATGGCTTAATCCATTAAACGGTTTCTGGATAGTTCCCACAACGCGACAACCTGATTACCACGTCATGGCGAGTGGATTCTTCATGACTGTTTTTACGAGTGATTTCCACGTCGTGGTATGTGCATGACCACAACATGGTGATCAACTGTGTTGACTTTTGGCTGTTGACTTTGATCGTTAATTGTCACAACTAGAAATTTTGTCTCTTGTAATCACTAAACTCAAGTAAAGGTTGAATCAAAAACTTAAAAGCATGTGTGATGCTTATTTAATGACATCAAAAACTTCAATCAAATACATCATGCAAGTGCTACAAATAGTCAACAACCAATTGGAAACCCTAGAAGTCCTCGTTTAAGTCCATTTTGGACTAGGACTTCCTTATTGGACCCAAATGGACCAATAAGCTTCCAATTTGACTATCATGGGCTCTAATTGGACCCATATTAATTTATTTTAACATTTTGGGCCATATTGGGCCTAGAATGAAATAAATTAAAAGTTTTGAATCATGATTAACTTAAACTAGCCCAACCAAGTGTGAAGATCATATTATATTTCGTTTAGATCAAAACTCATCCAACATAACTTCTATATGGGCTTGAGGGCTTTAAAGCCCAAATCTCTCCTTTTCCATCCAAATTCTCGGCCCAAGGCCCAAATCTAAGAAGAGAAGAGGAAGGGTTGACTAATGCATGCCACCTTTTTATTATATGGTGGTTATCCATGCATTACCCTCCAAATCTCCATGCCATCTCATTTCTCCATGCAACTCTATCTCTCTCCTTCCCTCTTCTTGTTCGGCCGTGAGTAACACACACACACACCTCACAAACTCTCTCTAGATTACTCAAAAATTCCTCTTTCCTCTCCACACAAAAATCTCGAAAAATTAGGAGGCTTTCAAGAGGATATTTCCACAAAATCTTCATCTAAGGTAAGGTTTTGCTTGGATCTATGACTTATATTCTTTGTTTTATCAAAAACCTCTTCCTAATCCATGCAAAAATCGTGATCTTGCATCCTAGAAAACTCCATAAACTCGAAAGCTTCATCAAGGGTGTTAGGGTCAAAAATCACCAAGCTTTCTTCCATCCTTTCTTCAAAAACCGAATCAACATCCAAAGGTGAGCTTCATACCCCCTTGTTTTCGTTTTTCTATAAGTTTTTGTGGGGGAGAATACAAGCAAAGGTGTAGATCTATCATTATGTGTATGCTTTGTATGATTTCTATGCTTATATGTATGTTTTGTATGATTATGATGCTAGATCTAGTTATGAATCACTAAAAACCGAGATATATTTTATGTTAGATGATACTAGCATAAAGTATACTACTACATCCAAAGTATACCAAGAAAAATAGCCAAATGGCTTGACAACACTTACTTTGGGCTAAAAACTCTTTTTTTTTGACATAAAATGTTAAAAATATAAAGTTGAAGGGCCTAAAATGAAATATTTCGAAATCTGATGGGTGAGATGAGTCAAAACAGTTTCCATAATGTGTTTTATGAAAATATACTCTTTGGAGGATTAAAAACATAAATTTCAAGCTTAATGGGCTAAAAATGACAATTTCGGCCCAATAGGGCCCATTATGCGAAATTTTCTGTTTTGGAGGGCCAAAACTGTGTTTTTCTGTAAAACAGTGGACTACTAGTGTTACAAGTACTTTTCAAAGGTTTAAAATGCTTTTCAAATTTAAAAAGGACCAAAGTTGCAAAAATTTTCCAATTGGGGCCAAAATTGTAAAAACTGCGAAAAAGGAGGGTTATAACCGAGAAAACTGCAATTTCAGGGACTTAAACTGTTTTCAACGAAAAATATGCTGAAAAATATTAATTTCAATAATTTTTGGTGTTAAAATGTCAAGAAAAATAGTTTAAGGGCTAAACCGGAAATTAATTTACCTAAAGGGGTGAAAGAGTAAATTTACAAAATAAAGAGGGGTTGTAAACAGAAAATTTTCAATGATAATTCAATACACTCGTTGTGAACAAAGACTGACACTACGACTCTCGATGAATTACAATACACAATGTCACTAACAATCGTTATCAAACGAATTGATTTGGTCTCGAATCAATAACAAATCCAAAACTACTAACACTACAACGCTCAATACACATATGGAACTCTCGGAACTCTATACTCTCGTGGAATTACTCAATACGTTGACGTACACTCCTTAGGCCCAAAAGTTGCAAATCATGCTTGTTGAGCCTAGCTAGCCCGATGACATGATCTTTAGGCCCAAAGGATACTTGCTTACATGTAGTTGGGTCTAATACGACTTAACCGCGTGTAAAAGGACTTTCAATGGCAAACGTGCTGCTGGTCCCCAAGGGTCCTTTGGTGCTGCTAGTAAAGTCGGAAACTCACGATTGCGGGATGGGCTTCGGGCCCTTCGCAATTGCAATGGTCTTGAACGACGTAGGGAAATACCGAGGGTTTCGCACCTTCACTTTTTCTCCTCGGTCGTGGGACTACACAAGTCCGGGAGGATTGAGTTGTGTGAATAAGTGCGAGTGACGCCTAAGGGATCGCTAGTATGGTTGACAACTGGACGTTTTCATTAACGTACGTTACAACAATTCACCACCCTCTGTATACTCAATGCCTCCAGAGCTCAACGAACACCTCTAACGTAACGAAATAACAACACATAAACTAGTAAAGCAAAGTGATAGGAAAACGTCGGGTTTTCCTAGGGTTTTTCAACTGGTACACTTACGAACTACATGCCGAATTTCACAACTCTTACGCTTACATCTATAGAATTCAAACAAGCATACTCACGGATCTTCACATATTTTTACGCTATACTATTTTTAGAAAATATCGGATTTTCTGGTGGTTTTCAAGACATTACAAACATTGGATTTTAAACATTACTTATGAACTCACCAACATTTCATATGTTGACGTTTTCTAAAATTCTTGTATTCTCAGGTAACAGATAAGTGAAGAAAGGACTGTACTCTATGATTGTTTTGCGGTTGTTTAAGTATCAATGAACAATGTATTTTGGGGAATGTAATATTTTGAAATAATGTAGCGGATGTAAACGCTACCAGTTGTATTATTCCAATGCTTGGTGATGTATGATGTTATGTTTCATGTATATTCGTTGTGATGGTATTCAATTGAGTCACAACAGCCCCCGGACGTTTCCGCCGTCTGGTTCGGGGGTGTGACATTAATCTTTGACTTTTTTGATTAGTTTGACTTTTGGTTAAACTATTATATAATTGGGTGTTAGCTAAGGACTAGTTGTGGTTTGGTTTTAGGTAGCTTGCGTTAGTTGTTCTGTTGCTGATGAGTTTTGCTGTTGAGCCTCTGCTGGTTAGCTTAGGTGAGTTTTCTCACTATATACTTCGTACTACAGTATGTATCATTGTGTGTAGGATGTCGGTATGTTGTAGTGAGTCATGCTTTGTTTGCTGGCTATTGTTTATTTTTTTTTGCATATGTCGACATATTGTGGTTGAGTTGAGGCAGTCATGCTTTGTATTGTAGGCCAAGATACCCAGGCGGTCCAAGTGTACTGTAAGCCTTGCAAGGTGGTCCACTTAGGTAGTAGGTCCAAAGGAACGGTTAAGCTATATTGTAGGCCTTGTGAGGCGGTTCTGTTAGATTGTGGGTTCAGGAGAGTGGTCCAGGAAGACTGAAGGCTCATGTGCGCAAGCATTGTGTGTGTATTGTTGTGTGAAGTATTTTAGAAATCTCACTAAGATTTGACTTATAGTTGTGGATTAAATGTCTTTCAGATATTTATCGGATGACGAATGCAAAACTGTACACACGCACATTAACCGTTTTATAAATCAAGATTCCATAATTTTTTCCTTATAACTCTGATTTTAATTTATGATTTATGAACAAATGGTTTGACTTAAAAATAAATTCATCAAAACGGATGTTTATTCTCCTTTAAAAATAAAAAAAAATATATTCTGAAATTTGAGAAGTTACAATATTGTTCAAATATACATTAAAAAGTTGTTGATATTACCTAATTTCCGTGTTTATGTGCATACTAAAAGATACATAATAACTAAAAAGAAAAAACATCATAAAAGGTCCCTGTGTTTTCCCAGATTCTAAAGTTTAGTCCCTGTGGTTTAAAAATCTCATAAATGGCCCCTGTGCTTTCAAAACTTTTGACAGATGGTCCTTATTGCTAACTCCGTTAAGTTTTATCCATTAACCGAAGGGCATTTTAGTCATTTCATACCACAGGGACCATTTATGAAGTTTTTCTCTTATTTACAAAGGGGTCTCTCTTTCTTTCTCTCTCTCTCTCTCTCTCTCTCTCTCTCTCTCTCTCTCTCTCTCTCTTTTTGATGCCTGCTTCCCCCTACTTTGTTTCCCTCTCTTAAGGAAATAGTCAACCAAGCCACATTCCTCCCCTACGGCAAATCCCAAATGGAGTTCTATGCCGACGACCTGGTTCCATGGCTAGAAAACCAGACCTCGAACCTTGCCACCGGATCCGCCAGCGTGTCAGTAACCATTGCCATGGACGCGTTGGTGCCAAGCTCTAACACCCATCTACAAACGCTGCGGCCAGCTGCTAATGGCTCCGTGGTTCACCCAAATCGAAACTAGAAACCAAGTTACGATACATAGTGACGCTTACAGTTGGATTTTTTTGGACATTTAATTTGACGCTCCCATTTAGGGTATTTTATGGTGTCGTGGTGGAGAAGAAGGTTGGCCGATCTCCTCCATCAATTTCATCAGGAACCACTTACGATTTCTAGGGCTATTCGAATTCATCCGGTTAGGATCTGCCTACGATTTCATTATGAGCAAGCACTCATTTGATTCTTGGATGAACACATCTTCAGATTTTGGTACTTATAAGTCCACTTCCTCCCATCTCGGTTTTCCGATCACAACCAGCACATTCTGGTTCTTCTTCCTCAATATAAACTCAATGGAAATCATTTGTGATCTTTATTCTCAATGGTAACTTAAGAATCAGAATCCTAAATTCGAATAAAAAACTAAAATAATGTTTGTTTTTGTTTCTGTAAATCAGTTTGAGTTAGTATGTGGGTGTTCATCCTACCATAAATTGATTTGTATGTGGATGTTTATCTCTCATTGTTCATTCAGTTGTCTTTATATGTTGGGGGTCTTGTGATTCTGGTGCTCCGGTGACTCCACATATGAGTTTGGACTCTCCATGGGAGGTCAAATAAGGAAAAAGAAGTTGCAGAAGGTGTTTGGACTCAAATTTTGTTGTAAATTTGGTGGTTTTCAAGTTTAATTGTATTTATGTATGTGTAGTTTAAGTTGTAGGTCAAATAAGGAAAAAGAAGTTGCAGAAGGTGTGGTGGATGGCTGGGTTGTCGCAAAACGAGAGGAGCAATCTCTCTTTTCCAACGACCCTTTGTGGGTCTTGTTCTAGTTGTTGGCAACGATAAAGCGAAGGGAAGAAGAGCAACAGTGGGTCGCAACATGGAAATGGGGCTTAGGCTGCTAATTGTCGGAGGTATAAGGTGGGAAAATGGGTGCTGGCAGTGGTGTTTCTTGGTGGTTTACCGTGGTTGAGAGTGATTCTTCATCGGTGGCGGTTTGGACGATTTTTTTATTGTCGGACATGAGCTAAGAAAGAGAGAGAGGAGGTCGCTTGGAGAGAGAGAGAGAGAGAAAGAGAGAGAGAGAGAGAGAGATTATATATTAAATAATTATATTTAGTTTTTTCTTTTTTAAAAAAAATAACTGAAAAGATCAAATATGATCCCTGTGGTGTGAAATGACTAAAATGCCCTTCAGTTAACGGATAAAACTTAACGGAGTTAAGGATCATCTGTCAAAAATTTTGAAAGCACGGGGACCATTTATGAGATTTTTAAACCACAGGGACTAAACTTCAGAATCTGAGAAAACACAGGGACCATTTATAATGTTTTTTCAACTAATAATTTGGTAAAATTTCATTAGTTGTCGACTTAAATAAATAAGAGTTTGCTTGTAATATCCTACCATGGTAAGCATTCTAAACATCGTACGATTAATAGTCTTTTTTTTTTCTTGATTGGATCCATACCTTTGAGATTAAAACTTTTAAAATATTATTTCCGTTGTAATACTTATTTTATTTAAAGCTTTTAGATTACATCAAATTTCCAACAACCAAAACTTTAACAAATCCATCATGTATCCCTTTTTCCATAATACTAATCCTTTTAATAAAAACATGTCCTAATTGAGTTCATAATCGCAAATCGACATATTTTTACCAATTATGAAGTACTTTAGTGATCTTCTAATCCATAGGTTATACTAATACTTCAATATTCATGAACCCAATCTAATAATCAAAATTACATTGTAGTATCTTTGAATAATCCAACTCATATACTGTCAATTTTATGTGCTAATTGCAACATACTTTAACCATTTAGGGTTCCAATTAGAGTTCTTGACCCAGATCAATAAAGTGTTTACACTCCGAGCTTTTTCATGGTGTTCTAGTACTAATATGATCATGTTAATGAAACTCAATTTGCAATATGCATTTGGCTAACGGTATAGTAAGATGTTCCCCTCAATTTAACCAATATACATTAGAATGTGTGTGCTATTTTTTTTAACAAACAAACTAGCTAGCTGGTATGAATTAGTATTTCTTTATCGTATTTTAGCATGATTATTTAGTTTAATTTTTTATTAACAACCGACCCTAATTATAAATTATTATTTGGTGGTTTGGACGCAACATAAACATTATACAAAAATTCTGAGCACCAAGGTTGGAGGAGTCTTCAAAACCTATCAACTTCGAACTGATTTCATCATCAAACTTTTAGTTTTGCGCTACGGATTTTTTATGCGACCACGATTAGCTATTCCAAAACAAATAGCAACTCTAAAGAAAAACCAACACTATGAACTACTTTTAAACATGTTTCATACTAAAAAATGTGATCGTACCTACTTGTGCAAATCTTTATTCGAGTAAAACGAGTCCCGTTGCATGGCTGGTCGATCATATGCAGTCGTTGAAGTGTTGCCTTGCTTTCATTTTTTGGAACCTTTGAGAATAATCTTCAACTCAATCAGCTATAGAAGCCAAGACGAACAGGAACCTTGCTACCTTTTAACCAACTTTCGCCTTGTATAAATTGGTTTACAGTGTATTTGATCGCTTCTTCCTTCTTGAAATCATTCTGATAACCAGGCCATTTAACTCTATCCTTGACCTGAGATCCCGGACCTATGTTGTTATACTCTGCGTAGTAAAGCGTTTGAAGCGCAAAGTCTCCTTCCCATGGCAACCAGCCATCTGAACGAATAACATCTCCAATCTCTGATTCCATAACGATTGTTCTCGAAAACTCTTTCCATGGCCTCCCAAGGTAACTTTCAATCTTTAACTTTTCAGGCTCCAGAGATGAATCTGCAGTAATCTTGCATTTCTGTAACACCATCCCTGTCGTTTGACGCTTGTCACTTCTTCCCTGAGCAGTCACTGTGTTCTTTTGTTTCTCCATCGGCTTTCTGATCAAAATCTCACACGTCTGAAAGACCGCAGCAGCATCTCCAAATATGAAATCTATTGTCCCGAGTATGTCGCACCCACGATAGAATTGCCTGTGTGTTTGCGCATACAATGTATCTTGATATCCCTCCATCCGACAATTCAAGAATATCGAACGATCCGATTGCACTCTCAGTGCGACTGCTTGATGTTTTTCAGGACCTGCTGTGTTTTTAAATCCAATTGACTGAGCGATAAATCCTTCCCCGATAGCCGCTGCATACGTTCAGTCATTAACAACTTCGCTACTTCATCATAACGATAACAACTAACAAGCTTCAAGCAAATTGTAGGTAAGAGTTGTATAGATACATGCATACCAAATGTCGCTGTTTGGAATGTAGGCACGCCATCTACGAAGTTTTTCTTCCCCGTGATGATCGTCTTTTGCGATCCATCGCCATACATTGTGACGTTTACCATCTTTTTCGTTACAATCACGTTCTCTTCAAACACGCCTGCTTTAATGTGAATGACATATCGACCTTCATACTTCTCCGGGATCCCTTCCAACGCCTTAGAAATGGTGGAGAAATCACCCGATCCATCTTTAGCGACAGTCGCATTCGGAGTCTGGGTTGGAGCGTCGGCCTTTAGTAACCTTCGGGTTTCATGTGTCATCCAGATGGGAAGTTCATCTGGGCTTTGAGATAGAAGCCGTCGATTGGTGGTTGCAGGTGGTGCTGCTCCTTTGTCGAATGAGGAGACGATGGCCAGAGAATTGCTGGTGAGCTCCTTGGTGGTCTTTAAAGCCTTTTCGACAGTAGCCCTAGTTGCGTCTTCCGTAATTGCATCGATGCAGGTTTGCTGATACGCAATCACCGCACTCAACCAACTGTCTAAATCAAGAACAGCGGTGCCATCCATGGCTGCATTTCGTGACCGATTGAAGTCGTCTTGTGCATCCTCGAGAACTTGCTTGCAAACATCGTGTATCGCTTTCTGCTCGTCTTTCATGGCTTTAGAGGTTTGTTCAATGGCATTATTGAGCTCATCAGAGGCCACGGATATGGCGGCGTTCACAAGATCCTCGGGTTGGGGTATTCCCGAAGGTTTTGTAGAACTCAACGATTTCTCAAGATGACTCTCGCATGTTTCTTTATAATCCGTTGACTGACATACGGTTTTCACGGCCTTTTGGGTTTGCAAGATTTTTTGGTCGTTATTTCCATCGTCACCGGAGGTACCAGGTGACGTGTCCTTATCTTCATTGTTGCCACTCTCCACGTTGGGCACGTCATCCCCTTCGGCTTCATCTTGTTGGGCATTGTTAAGAAATATCAAGAATGCCACAATAGCTGCTGAAAGAATTAGAACGGCTACGACAACACCAAGTATGATTCTCCTTTTCAATTTTTGTTTTCTTTCAAGTCTTCGACGTTCTGTAATTTGGTCAAAATCTTGAAATGCCATGATTTGACTTTATTAATACGAAGGCAAAATGCCTTCGTCTTCGTATGATCTCTGCCTTGGATTGTAGCCAAGGCAGAGGCTTCAAAATATTGGAATCTTTCAAAGAAAACAAAAGTTAGAAGCAATTTGTACAATTATTCTTCTGTTTTCTTCGTTAAAATTTTGTTATGGAGGGTTTTTGGGTGTTTGTTTGTCATATTGTTGTACCAAACACAGATTCTCTTGTAACAAATTATGGAGGATTTATGGAGTGGAGGATTTTGAGGACCGTTTTTTTCTCACTCGATATTGAGGAATATCATTTGTTGGTGTCACTAGTTCAAAGAGCCCTCTTCGGCCGATATAGATTTGACACGTGAAAAAAAACACACACACACATTTGAGAAGCTTACTAATATATAGACAAAAAAACTCATTACTCGCATATAAGTCTTATATACCCAACTTGTCTATTTTGCTTTCATATAGCTTAGAAGCTTTAATATACCACATATAATTTCTAACTAGGTGTGGAGCCCCCGCGTTGCAGGGTCAGATGTGATAATTTTATATGTTGTTTGTTCTTTGTAAATGTTATTTGATCAACTATTTGTTTATAGTTTGAGTGTTGTTATAGGGTACTAATATTGTTTGGTCATGGATAACTATTTTGTTGTCGGATAAGCTATTTATTGAAATATATACTTCATGGGTTTATCCTTTGGTTGATGGAATCGAATTGGAGAGCCGGATTCCACAGATCAAATACTTCATGGGTTTTTACCTCGATAAGTGTTGTCTAAGTATAACATTGGCTACCTCAAAAGATATTTGATAAAATGACAACACACGTATCTAAAAAAGCAAAGTCACCACAACAAACAAAGAAAACAAAAAAGAATCAATTTGTTAATCAGTGTGTTACAATATGGTAATAAGTTTAATCGTTAGCTTTGTTAGATTCCATTAACCCTGAGAAAAGAAAAGAAAAAAAAAACATATCAAAAGTTTGAAAAGCAAATAAATACAGTCAAGAAATGAAGGCTAATAATTTATCATACCACGTTTTGAACATTTATAACAGAAATTTGACAGATTTTGACAGCAATGATACAATTAGTAATCTAATGGTATTTTGTTAACTAAAGGCAGATCAGAAAACCAAAATTTTATAAATAGCCATAACCAAAACACGAAATTGACAGTAAACTGAAATAGACATAATCAAAATTTTAAATGGCCAAATGATAAAAAAAAATTAAAACGAAATGGGAGTCACATTCAAATAATCAAAAAAGTATGTTGGTATATTTTGACAAACGTAGATTAGTAAAATAAGACAAAAAAAATGAAATTTAAAGACACAAAAACGAAAATGGTCATTTTAATAAAGACAATAATTACAAAGAAAAAATGGTTTCTATTTTACTTACGTTAAAATTTTCATATCGAGAAATTGAAAAAATATATGTACTTAATTGGTCAAAATGATGAAAACAGTTAAGATTCATTCTTTCGTACTTGTAATCCAAGTTTAAATAAACCAAAAGACATTTTTTTTGTCTAAACTGATTGAAATTAACAAAATAACCATAATAGAAAATTTAAAATAGGC